AGGAATGAGGAAGTGATTGTTATTGCTTTGTTCTCTGGCCCTATTGGAGAATGTGACTCTCTTAAGGCTGAGATCCTTGCAGCGCTGAAAGGAATTCGAAGAGCAAAGGAATTAAATATCAACCGATTGATCCTGGAAGGTGATTCAAAGATGGTGGTTGGCTAGTTGAAGAAAGAGGACAATTCTTATGGTTGTGTAGGGACATTGGGATACAATATAGCTAGGTAAAGAGGAGTGCTAACTCATTTGCGGATGGGTTGGCTAAACAAGGGGTGAATAGGGAGTTAATTTTTAAATTTTCTTTGTACTTTGTATTTGGGGAGCTAAGATATTTTATATCTCCTCTTGTATCCATAATCTCTCTTTTCTTTTAATATTAATGAAGTTGTTATTGATCAAAAGGTAAAAAAGATGACAATTCTTCTTTATCAGAAGTTATCTCTTTTTCCTTTCTAGAGGATTCTTCTTATTCATTAATCTTTTTGATATTCTTAAAGCACTTATTAATGTAATGTCCCCTTTCCATATTTATTACAAGAAAGAGTTTTATAACCTTTCTTACTTTTATGATGTTTTGATTTCTTTTCCCATTTTTCATTTTCTATTTATAGAATTTTGATTTTATTCTCTTGTGCACCGGTTTGTTATAAGTTGGTTCAAGTCCAACTCCAAACTAAAAGTAGAAGTCCCCCAACTCTTTTTCAGAGTTAGACCTTTATCTTTTAATTTACCTTTTTAGGCGTAGGTCGTTGCATAAGTCCAACCCTACTTGTTTGACTATTTGGAGTAAATATCCAAATGTATAATGCGGGTATAATAGTCCAACTCCACCTAAGTTTCTAAGGTGGTTCTTTACCTTTTCAGCAAATAATAGGGGAAATCATAAAATAAACTGTTCTTTTCAATAAGCTTCTCTAGAATTTGGAAAGGAACATATCTTTATACCATCTAAAATCAGATAGAATTTTGCATTAAAGATTTATAAACTGCACACTTTAGTCTCTCTGTCATATCATCGGAATTTCCGATAAAATGATTTAATATATTTAATATTAAGGTACTAACTACATCTTGGGTTGGGCAGCCTTGACTTAAGACCACTTCTCCATTCTCATCCTTTTTTAACTAAATTGAGGATGTAATATCTTTCTTCCTGAATAAGGTACTTGTTCCAACCTTTGAGTTGTCTTCTTCATTTCAAGCCAATTTGCTAGCACTAGCATACATATTCATATGATCGATCATCTCATAAATCTAGTATTCGGATTTTTCCATCCAAATTCAATTCATAGAAAGTATTTCCATCATAGCTAATTCATGGTTTTACCAGTTCTTCGAATAACAAGTCCATTAGAGTGTGCCTTGAATAGCAAGGCTTCTTGCTTTTGTATGAAAGCTTATTTAGATCTATTGAGGGCTTTTATGTTAAATCAGTTTCCGTCTCTACTCCAATTTCTGATCCTTCACTAGTAAATTTACTGAATGGGAATTAGGTGTTTTTTTCATCCGTTACTTGTTTTTCAGAAGATTCTCCTTTCCCCATTTGGAGCTTTGAAACAAATCTTTAGGAGCTCTCTCAAAACTGAGGAAATTGTTTCGGCAATCTGCCTGGCCAGCCTCTCCTAAACTTGGAGTTTGCAACCATAAAAATGTGTTGACTGCAAAATCGATCTTCCAACAGGATCAGCTCCTAGGGGGTGAAAATATCCCATGTGTACCACACCATGAAATGGCAGGAGATGATGCTCAAATTGGGACCAAAATGGCAAATTCAGCACAGACCGTATCTCATCCAGGTTAGAACTAATATTACCATTGTCATTTTGTAGGCTTGACTTAAGCAAACCCATTCTACTAGAATAGAAACCATTTAGTTTCATTTCCAAATTGGATCTCTTAAAGTACATCAGCCAATGCACAAAACGTTGTGGGGTTCCGACAAGCTCTTTCCTTAATGGGTCTTCACCCAAAGACTAGAGAATGGTAGTTACTACAGCGGTCATGGCGGGCTGTATGGGACATCAGCCAATGCACAAAACGTTGTGGGGTTCCGACAAGCTCTTTCCTTAATGGGTCTTCACCCAAAGACTAGAGAATGGTAGTTACTACAGCGGTCATGGCGGGCTGTATGGGCACCATATTGGTGGAAGCCCTACAACTGTTGTTCTAACTTCAGAAGAGAAAGGAAGTGGACCCAACAATCTCCTTTTTCATTCTCAAAGACTCAACCCTGAAGTCACAGAGATCTTCTCCCACCCTGGCATGTCCACTTCTGTAAGAGGGTTACTTTGCACTGCACTACTACATTCTACTCCAAGGAATTGAATGTGCCAACACTGAAGTAGAACTGCAACACTTACTGGCTTGATTGCACTCTGTGGAGCCAAACAAACTTCATTTTCCAGCCTGTGGGTCTTGAAGTCTCTTGGCAAAGACATCAGCCACCCTAGAGAGCTTGCTTGGGTCTACACCCGTTGCCCAGATGGAACATAACCAACATGGCACTTAACCTGAAACAGTAGCCAGCATGATTCACAGTAGGAGAAGAGGTCAAGGTCTCGAACAACTACAAGTCCACCTTCCCCTCCTGCATGCCCAACTCCATTATACAAGCCAGTTTCAGGGAACAAAGCACCTTGCACGATATCCTTTACCCAGTGTTTTAAAAGCGCAGGGCGCAAAAAAAAGAGCAATGGCCAATTTGTGCCTAAGGCGACACACGCCCTTTTAAGAAAGACACAAAATTACAAAAAAAAATGACAATTAAAAAAAAACAAAAAATTCAAAAAATATTAAACAAAATGTTAATAAAAAAATGTAAACTTAAATTTTAAAATAAATGTTTTAAAAAGCCTATTATCTAAAATTAAAATACATAAACATAACCTATAAGGCGTATTCAAATGAAAATTTAAAAATAAAAACAAACATATAAAACATTTTCAAGCATATAAAACCCACAATCTCTTTTTTTCCTTAATTGCATTGCTTCAAGTAGCTAATATGATATAAAACATTGCATTCTTGATTCTTATTTCTCACATAAAAATATTGATTTTATAACTTTCATTGCCTTTTAAGATGTTTTATTGTAACCTAAAAAAAGAGGAAAAAACCACTATGCTTGAATCAGCATACTTCCTAATCTTGTATTATTTGTCATTTCTAGAATTGCACTTAAAATTACATACTGAAATAATTTTACATGCTCACATCCCTAAATGCATGTATACTGCAGAATCTAGGGATATTGTTACGATAATTAGATAAAATATTAGTTTTCTTTTTGTTTTTTTCTTCACACAACCAGAAAGGAAAGTAATTAAGTCCAGGGGGGATCCCATTCAAAAAAAATACCAAGAAGCCAGATCAGTGGCCTTGCTTAGGTGAAAATATGCAACAGGAGTAAGATCACAATTCAGCTGGATTGTTACTTGACCAAATACCAGCTTCACACCAGTTACTACCAAAAAGGGGCACATGAAAGCCTAGGTTGTCCTATATATAGGCAAAAGCATGCAGTGGGAGCCAAATAACTGTTTGCTGAATTATTACTTACTTAATCCCCTGTTAAGGGCATAACCTCAGGTCAGGTTGGGTCAGCTTGAGGTCAATCCAACTAAACCCAAGTCAAGGGCGCCTCAACCCTAACCTAACCCAAACCCCATTCTGATGAAACCAACCCAAACCCAACTTCAGTAATTCACCTTAGAATGTATAACTGCAACCAAAGGAGCATCCAGACTTTCAGAATCTGCTCAGGTTTGGTTGATAGCTTGATAAAAGCATGACAAAAGCCCGGCATTCATCATCACCCAAGCCTTATCCCAACTATATGGGATCAGCTATATGGATCCTGTTTCTCCATTCACTATTTTTAAATCCATATCCATTGTTAAGCTATTGGTGCTTAAAACATTTTTTACTACTTCTACCCAAGTCCTTTTTGGTCTACCCCTAGCCCTTCTAACCCCTTCAACTTGCAACAAAATCACTTTCTTACATGTGTTGATGGTCTTCTATGCACGTGATCAAATGCCTGTCGTTAAAACTAAAAAAAAAAAAAGGATTGTAATTTTTTAAGCCTGTTTTGAGAGACTTGGGCAACAAAAAATGTTACAGAAGTCAACTTTGTTAAATTACTGCAACATCCATGCACACTTAATCACAATTTGGACTCAAATGGTACCCACAAAACAGAGATAACTCAGTTTAGTTGCCAGCGATTTGGTTGAAAATACTTGATAAATGAATACCACATAAGACAAATCCATGAAGACCAAATCACAGGCAACTGATATCATAGAAGTCAGAACTTTGATGAATTACTGTAACACCCATGTGCAGTTCATTACAAGTTGGATTCAAATGGTGCCTAGGAAATTAAGATACTCATTTAGTTGCATGATATTGGTTGAAAAAAACTTATGAAGAGTTGAAGACCAAATCACAGGCAACTGATATTATAGAAGTCGGAACTTTGATGAATTACTACTGTAACATCCATGTGCAGTTCATTACAAGTTGGATTTAAATGGTGCCTAGGAAACTGAAGATAACTCATTTAGTTGCCTGAGATTGGTTGGAGAAACTTGAAACATGATGTCACATAAGACAAACCCAAAAGGTCCAATTTATTTTATTAATAATCTTATTTTAAATTATAAAAACCCAGTACTAATATCGATGTAGTTCTTGAGGAAGACATATTTTGGTTTCCTACGCAATAACTCAACATATAATTAATTAGATAAACAACCACAAGTCACTTACCTAACCAAACAGTTCATTTGTAACTTGGCATCCCAAACTTACTTTGTGCATGTGTGCCCCTATGGAATAATATGTTATGTACAGCTAGACAGAAAGAGGACAAAAACATGATTGGATGGGAAGTTGGATAAGGAAGATAATGGTAGAATGTGGTTAGGATTCAACATGGTAAATTGATAAGATAAGCCTGAGTAATTTTATTAGGGATTTCGAAAGAGTAACTAACATGTACTAGTACGTAACTTCAACTAAATTTCATCACAGCTCTTACCAGAGGAGTCCTTACTTAGCCTATCCTGTAGAGAATGCCAGAGAGCACCTATGGCATGAAAAGTTGTCACATAGCCATTAATAAAACAATCAACAAGGCCTATTGTGAAGTAAAAAAATAACAATATAAATGTACATAAATAACTATTTATCACACAACCCCCTTAATACTGGAAACTAAGATCATAAAGCCCTGTCAACACACTTGTGTATAAGTTGGTAGAGTAAGCTTGTGGAGGGCTCACTTGCAGAAACCTGTTGAGACTTCTTGTCAATTTGCAAGACGATTGATTTGGTGTTTAGGGAGCCATCTCTTACAAGATCAATGCTGATGAGAGGGGCTCACTTGCAGAAACCTGTTGAGTAGCACCATTTTCACTAGTAGGATGAAAGGGGATAAAGGATGACCAAAATAAAATAAAACAAAAATTTTAAATGTCAATAATAGTCATCAAATAAACCAGAAATTTTCAGAGAAGAGAAGAAAAAAAGTACCAAACAACTCACCAGAACATGATGTCCAATTGAACTGTTCAACATGGCTGAAACACCTCCACCCTAATTAGATATGCATAAGAAGGAACAAGTCAAGATTGACAATAACAGGTTGCACCTTACATCTTGCACCTCAAGCGCAAAATGACCCTTGCACTTTTTTTTGTGCCTTGTGCTTTTATTAGAACATTAGGCTGATGCTTCTGGAGAAATTACCAAATTACCAGTTATCTATCATGGTTTTTCAAGGTTATTTTCTTATAAAGGAAAACCACCCAAAAACAGAGGAGAGGCTAGATGCTTCTGGAGAAATTACCAAATACCAAATTCGTCTTCACTGTAAGATTTGATAATGATTTTCGGTTGTAGATTTACATATCATAGTTCTTGAAATCTTATTATTGTATTTTGCTGTGTTATAATAATCTTACTTCTTATGACAGGTGTAAACTGTTAATTGTTGAGACATGTTTTGCTCTGGATGCTGATTCCTTGATATCACTTGGCAATGGTGATCAAGGATGTTAAACTCGATTTCAATATCAAAGCAACATACAGAGATAACAAGTCATAAAATTCTCTTTCATCCTCATTTGGGAAGGTATATCCTACAGGAAGATGAGTGGGAAAAAAATTGAGCAAATAGAACTTAAACTATCATATCCTTGTTGACTCCATCTATTGAATGTAATTGTTGGATCACCAGTAAAAAATTTGGCAAAAAACCCAGATCACTGTGCATTTGCCCATGAAAGAATCTGTGAGATTTATTCCTGGCATAACCTACACAACTGCAAGCACTAGTAAAAGGGTAATTAACAACTTCATGGGGGAAAATTAGGAGAAATTAGGAACAGAGGGATGCAACTATGTCCTTCCATAACCAGTACTATTCGAAATAGTTTGCAGAAACATTGCCTTAGCATTAGGATCAGTTGAGAATCGACCCAATACAGCTATTGTGGCTGTACTACTTCCCACCTTCTCAATCCCTCTAGAAATCATACAAATGTGGTTGGCTTCCACTACCACCACCACATCCTCTCCCAACATTGAGGAAACTGTTTCGGCAATCTGCCTGGTCAGCCTCTCCTGTACTTGGAGTTTGCAACCATAAAAATGTGTTATTGACTGCAAAGTCGATCTTCCAACAGGATCAGCTCCATGAGGGTGAAAATATCCTATGTGTACCACACCATGAAATGGCAGGAGATGATGCTCACATTGGGACCAGAATGGCAAATTCAGTACAGACTGTATCTCATCCTGGTTAGAACTAATATTACCATTGTAAGTTTGTAGGCTAAGCAAACCCATTCTACTAGAATAGAAACCATTCAGTTTCATTTCCAAATTGGATCTCTTAAAGTTCATCAGCCAATGCACAAAACGTTGTGGGGTTCCGACAAGCTCTTTCCTTAATGGGTCTTCACCCAAAGACTGGAGAATTGTAGTTACTGCAGTGATCATGGCAGGCTGTGTGGGCACCATATTGGTGGAAGCCCTACAACTGGAGTTCCTCGTGCTTGTATGACCATTACAAGTCAGCACATCCAGAGACCTGCATGGGCACCAAGAAGATTGACTGTTGTTCTGTACATTTACACCTCTGAACTTCAGAACAGAAAGGAAGTCGACCCAACAATCTCCCTTTTCATTCTCAAAGACTCCCAACCCTGAAGTCACAGAGATCTTCTCCCACCCTGGCATGTCCACTTCTGTAAGATGGTTACTTTGCTCTGCATTACTACATTCTACTTCAGGGAATTGAATGTGCCAACACTGAAGTAGAACTGCAACACCTGCTGGCTTGATTGCATTGTGTAGAGCCAAACAGACTTCATTTGCCAGTCTCTGTGGGCCTTGAAGTCTCTTGGCAAAGACATCAGCCACCCTGGAGAGCTTGCTTAGGCCTACCACCCGCTGCCCAGATGGAACATAACCAACATGGCACTTAACCTGAAACGGTAGCAAGCATGATTCACAGTAGGAGAAGAGGTCAAGGTCTCTAACAACAACAAGTCCACCTGCCCCTCCTGCATGCCCAACTCCATTATACAGGCCAGCTTCAGGGAACAAAGCACCTTGCACAATATCCTTTACCTTCTGTCTGTAACCTGGAAAAAAGGGAAAAACCAATGTGCTTGAATCAGCATACTTCCAAATCTTGTATTATTTGTCATTTCTAGAATTGCACTTCAAATTACTTATTGAAATAATTTAAAATACAAGCTCACATCCCTATATGCATGTAAATTGCAGAATCCAGGGTTGTTACGATAATCAGATAAAATATTAGTTTTCTTTTTGTTTTTCTTCTTCACACAACCAAAAAGGAAAGTAAATAAGTCCAGGGGGGATACCATTCAAAGAAAATACCAAGAGGAAGGATCAGTGGCATTGCTTCAAATAGGTGAAAATATGCAACAGGAGTAAGATCACAATTCAGCTGGATTGTTATTTGACCTAATCCCAGCTTCACACCAGTTACTGCAAAAAAGGGGCATATGAAAGCCTAGGTTGTCCTTTATATAGACAAAAGCATGCAGTGGGAGCCAAATAACTGTTTGCTGAATTATTACTTACCTAATCCCCTGTTAGGGGGCATAACCTCAGGTCAGGTTGGGTCAGCTTGAGGTCAATCCAACTCAATCCAAGTCAAGGGCACCTCAACCCTAAGCTAACCCAAACCCCATTCTGATGAACCAAACCCAAACCCAACTTCAATACTTCACCTTAGAATGTGCAACTGTAACCAAAGAAGAGCATCCAAACTTTCAGAATCTGCTCAGGTTTAATTGCTTGATAAAAGCATGACAAAAGCCTACCATTCATCAGCACCCAAGCCTTATCCCAACTATATGGGATCAGCTATTTGAATCATGTTTCTCCATTCATTCTTTTTAAATCCATATCCATTGTTAAGCTATTGGCGCTTAAAACATTTTTTACTACTTCTACCCAAGTCCTTTTTGGTCTATCCCTAGCCCTTCTAGCCCCTTCAACTTGCAACAAATCACTTTCTTACAGGTGTTGTTGATGGTCTTCTATGCACGTATTCCTGTCATTAAGACTACAAAAAAAGGACTGTAATTTTGTAATCCAGTTTTGAGACTTGGGCAACAAAAAATGTTACAGAAGTCAGAACTTTGATAAATTACTGCAACATCCATGCACACTTCATCACAATTTGGACTCAAATGGCACCCACAACACAGAGATAACTCACTTTAGTTGCCTGCAGTTTGGTTGAAAATACTTGATAAATGAATACCACATAAGACAAATCCATGAAGACCAAATCACAGGCAACTGATATTATAGAAGTCAGAACTTTGATGAATTACTATAACATCCATGTGCAGTTCATCACAACTTGGATTTAAATAGTGCCTAGGAAACTGAGTTAACTCATTTATTTGCTTGAAATTGGTTGAAGAAACTTGAATCATGATGTCACATAAGACAAATCCAAAAGGCCCAATTTATTTTATTAATAATCTTATTTTAAATTATAAAAACCCAGTTCTAATATCAATGTAGATCTTGAGAAAGACTTATTTTGGTTCCCTACTCAATAACTCAACATATAATTAATTAGATAAACAACCACAAGTCACTTGCCTAACCAAGCAGTTCATTTGTAACTTGGCATCCCAAACTTTGTTCATGTGTGCCTATGGAATAATATGTTATGTACAGCTAGACAGAAAGAGGACAAAAAAGAGTAAATAGCAATATTCCTATGGTTACAAATTTCAAGAGTAACCAAGTCTATCCATTTCTACTTTTTTTTCCTTTCAATTTTTTAGCACAAAAAATCATAAATTGCTTAAGATATATCGGAATTTCTATCATTTTACAACTAGCATATACAGAACAGTTTTAGTAAGCAGATTTATAAGTTAAAGACTTTCTTAATGAATGGCCCCCAGCAAAAGGATTCTATATGCTACACCACACGATAGCTTCCTACGAATAATAAAAAATAATAAAAGAAAGATACTGAGAGACTTTGTGTCTAGTTGAATTGGTTTTTCTATATTCCAATTTGTAAGGTGTGACCAGCATTAGGGTGGTCTGGATGAGTAGGCAGAGAAGAACCACATATAGAAAAAGAAGCCTTAGCCACTCCTCACCCACTCCCACACAACTTAGGGACAACACAGATTTAGTGGTATACATCATAAAGGATACTGAAAGGAGAAAATAACAAGATATACTTTGAGATGCTATTTCCCTTACACTTGAATTTCCTAAACCTAGGGCTGTCAGTGGACTCCAAAAATCCAAAACCTGATCTGAATTCTGACATCATATCCAATTTAGTCTGAGTCTGATTAAAATTTAATACTTATATAACATAAGTATATATGTATATAGATATCGTATATAATTAGCTAAAGTTTGTAATTAATAAGTTCATTATTTTTCCTACAAAAAAATCCAACATTTTATATTTATAAGTTAAAAACTAATTATTTCTTTTATTTTAAAATTTTCTTCTAAACAAAATAATGTGGATCCAGATTAGACTCAAGTCCGATATATTGAATATTGGATTTTGAAGGTTCAATAATCGGATCGGATTTGGATGTGTCCATCAAAAAGCAAAAAGAAAAAAAAAATGAAAAACCAGAATGGGACCCCACAAGAAACACGTTAGCTTAGGGACCACACAGCATCTAATAAGGAAGACACATTCAAATTGAATATCACGAGAGTTAGTTGGCGTTTGCCACACAAATAATATAATTTTTTACAATAAATTGAAACTGTGTTATTTGTAGGTTCCTTTCAATATATGAATTGGCCACCAAGTCACCAACTACCGCTGTCTGACCAGGAACAAGAAACAACAACGAAGGATCTGGGGCCAAAAGGAGTGCACTTTCCGCCACTCATACCTAATTATACACAGCACATAACCAACTTCTGGGCCCTCACCATTCCAAAGTACTCGCTGAAAAGGTCTCTTTACATTTCAATCCAAACCTCCCCCCACCAAAAAGAAGTGGAAAAGGAATAAAAAGCGATATAAAAGAACAAGAAAATGAAATTGAGCCCGACATTCAGAAACAGTGACTTCCACAAGTTCTGAAAGACAAAGCTGGTTTTGTGGGTTAGATTCAGATCTCTAATATAATCAAGGGTCTAGCACATCCTCTTAGGTAATACAGAACAGACAAGTCCAATAAAGCAACCAAACTAAGAAGACAAAACTCCCATTAAAAATATAGAAACAGAGCTGAAAATATAGGAATTCGATGACCAAGAATAGATCCATTACGATAATATATGTTTATGGTACACTGGAAGTACTGTTAAGATCCTGGAATTCTGCCAATACTGAAAACAGATCCCAAATTTCAGCACCTACCCACGTCTTCTTAGCCAAAAAAAAAAAAAAACAAAAAAAGCAGCGACATAAATAAACAAAACCCTATATGATTGAACAGAGATAATGACTAATTAAATAAGATTCAACTTTTAAACAAATAAAAAAATTAAATTAATAGATCTAAGAGCAATAAAAACTAATATTCCTTCTATAAAGTCCTTAATTAATGAACAAAAAAAGGGATCTAAAGAAGACTATAGGATTAACAACCTCTTACCTCTTGTTCCCTCTCGAAGGGCTTTGGCAACACGAACTGGAGTCTTCTTGAGACCTTCTCTATTAGAATCCTCTCCCAAACCCTGCAACAGAACCTTGACGGCGTCCTCGATGACGGCAGTCTCCGATTCGTGTTCTAGATCCAGCTTAAGAGATTCTGGCTTCACTCCATTCTCAAGGGTTCCAATAAAATGCCCCTCATCCAAAGCGCCCATTGACAGACAACGAATCTCCACAAACTATAAAACTACACCGACCCAAATCAGGAATGGAACACAGAACCACTGAACCAAAAAAATTCAAATCCAGTTCTGAAAAATTAGAGTTACCAGGATGAAGAGTGTGATCAAACCCAGATGGGTATGATGGATCGATTACAGAGGCCAAAGGAAAAAAAAAATGAAACCAAGTTTTTGAAATGCTAAAACTCAGAAGAATGAAGAACCAGAGAAACAGACCCTCACCAAAAAATTCTGAAACACGGAAAAAACAAATTCAGAACAAACCCAGATGGGTAAGACGGATCAAAGACTGAGGCCAAAGAAAAAACGCAACCCAGTTTTGGAAATGATAGAAGATTGAAAGAGGGTCCTCCAAACGGACGACACAGAGAATCGAAAGCAGAAAACCGGGTAGGGGAAATCGAGCAAGATGGCTCATATTTATACCCAAAGAATCAGGGAGCGGCTGAGCCATAAACGTAAGGCTGCCGTTGATCTCCGAACGTGTGGATGCTCTTCCTTTTGCTCTTCTCTCATGGTGATGGTTCCACTCTCAAGTCTAAACTGAAGCGGGACCCGCAAACGTTATTGGGAATGTGTGGCGTGTGTCAGCCCCACTCGCATATGCGAAATGTGGGGCGCACGTTACTCCACCAACCCACTGCACTGGAGGCGGCCAGTAGAGTAGTGGGTGGAATCGAATTGGAATATGCGCCTCACACCTCACGTGGGAGACCGGATCTGCTCCTCACACAGGGCGCTTCACATCGATTTCACRCGCACATCCTATCATTGGGAGCATCTCCCGCACTTATAACTTGTTATTCACGGCAAATATTTCCGATGTATGGCCAAAACACGTTGTGAGGCGCGCTATATTGCGAGCAGATTCGGACTCGATGGAATCRAGAAAACGGAAGGTGCTTGACACTGGTCCTGCCAAATCGCTGACCCGTACTTAGATTAGATTACAAACGGATCGGACTGATTTTGGATACAAATAATACCTGAATCTGAAAGAACCAACTTGGATTCGATATCTAATGAATACGTAAAATATGGGTTCGAATTCGGTTAATTTACATACAATGATATCTGATTTGAATCCAATTCGATAGATTTATGTAAAACAAGTATAAATTTATAAAGTTTAATAAAATTAAAAAATATTTTTGAATAAAAAACAAGATTGTCATTATCATCACCTAAGGTTATGTTACCAAGTTCTACAAGTATTAAACACAAATCAAAACTTTAAGTTTAACATATAAATTATACTAATCCTATCATCTAAATTCCCAAGATATGCTGGTCTCATTTTTCAATGGTACCAACTACCAATCAAAGCCATGTGATATTTTAGCATCATCTTCATATTCATCTTCGGGAGGTTATGTTTCATCTGCATCTCCAAGTTGGGTGTTGGTTACATTTTCGTCAACGATTCTTCATTACTCAATGAAAAAATCATCACCACCATCTAAAGAATGAAAACCAAAAAAAAAAAATAAAACTCAATAAATAGCCAAAAGAATCAAATATGAAAATGCCATATGAGATAATATCAATAATAGTTACCATTAGTTCTAACTCTTTTTCTTGATGGTGATTTCATTATTGTAAATGTTGTCTCTTCAGCTTTAAACATGCCATCCTTCTCATAACCATTAATGGAGGATCTTCATCATCGTTATCCAATCTTTCACAACATTAACATGTTCATGCCCAATTGGGTCAAGACTTTCAATTTTTCTCAAACAAAGCAACAAATGATAAAATTAGATGCAATGAAAGCATAGAAAATAGACAATTATGAAACATAAAACACTTACCCATCTATTACATGTAGGTTGCAATGAACATATACTAGGTCATTGTGCCTTTGGTGCTCCAACCTATTCCTTTTCTTCACATATATACATTTAAAAACATTCCAATTGCGTTAACATCCATTTGAGCTACACATCTAACTAAGGATCTGCATATCAATTTTTTCAAACTTGGAGTGCCACCACCAAACCTCAACCACCATTCGCCTATATTAAATGAAATGGAGTTGATTTAATTTATAAAATAAAATTGAAATAATAAATATATTATAAGAAAAAAATATTTATTACCTGGAGGCATTGTCTTAAATGCTTTCAGTGAGAAAGGTCTTCCAAAATCACCACAAGTTTCAAAAATACTATGCTCTTTGTTCAGTTTTATCTCCACATCATCTGATTTGGTTGCAAGCTTTTCAATGACAAAAAATTGTTGACATAACGGCCGGGGATTTGACTTTTCATTTCAGATCATATTGGGAGGCTAGATTAAAATAATACCCTGCAAGATGAAGCCTTTGACCCATTTGTCTATTCTATCTTCTATCAATAATCTGAATGATTAGGTCATATTCAGTTTTCTTATAATTGAAATACTTTTTTCAATGATTTATTTGCCTTCAACATAGTATGATACATATACCCCATTGTAGGCTTAAACTCGGAATTTGTAAGTCTCAATGCACTAATAAGAGGTGATGTGAAACCCACAATCATTTTGCATTGTTTTCAAAATTCGAAATCTAGCACTATTTTTATTACTTCTTTCCCCTTTGCATTTTTTTCATACCTAGAGTCACTAAAACTCTGATTTGTCACCAAATTTTGCAAATCATGCATATGCTTCAAAATGTAATCTAATACAATGAAATTAGTTGCAAAGCGAGTGGCTCCAAAACGTACTATCTCAGTCCAATCAGGTTTCTTCCTTAGCATTAAGAGTACAAAAATATGATTGTAGACAAACCTTGTAATTTTTTATGTGCGTTGAACCGCATATGCAATATAATCCACTTCCCCAATTTCCTTTAACATCAAATTCAAACAATGTGCTGCACAAGGTGACCAATAAATCCATACAAATTATGCTTCCAACAATTTTCCTACATCTACATTATTTGCAGCATTGTTAGTGATTACCTAAACAACATTTTCTGATTTTACCCAATCAATAACTTCTTTAAACAAAAGAAATAAATTATCTGCACTCTTCACTATTTTAGAAGCATCTATAGACTTCACAAATGCAGTTCCTATTGGACAATACACTAAAAATTTAATCAATGTCCAGCTATGTGTACCTGTCCAACTATCAGCCATTATAGTGCAACCATATAAAGCCCAATCCTTACGGAGTTTATCAACAGACATTTGAACCTCCTGAACTAAATCCTTCAACAAATTAGTCCTACAATTATGATATGAATGAGCTTCCCTAGAGCAATAGTACCAAGTGCATCCAACATAGGTTGAAAATATCTTGAACGCAAAGTGATGAGGGCGGATTTGGCCCTCCAATGATATTGTGACACATGGCACCTCGGAACAACTAGGTGACACCCGGAACCACTTAGGCAACAACTTGCCTTAGCCAAGTTGATGGTGTCCCACCTGGCGGCTTGGCCCAGGCACGAACTGGCGGCCGGGCACATGTGCA